AAAGCTATATAGAAGCTATATAGAATCATTTAACATACAGAAATGCTAATTACTCCTTGCTGTGTTACACTTACTATTTGAAGCTGCAGTTTCCAGAATAAGTGAAGTAATAACTGGGCAGACATTTAGTTTTATTTTGTTGTTTATAGAAAAAGACACTTTAATTTCACTATATTTTCTGTGCTTTTCTGCCATTTACTGACAAAACTTTAAACAGTACTTGATGCCAGCTTTATTACTCTTGGCCTAAGATCTATTTATTTTAGGAACTAGGGCTTATTTAGCCTCGTTACTAAATTTTCACATTGACATTTTTATGGGTCCTACTGCTATATATGGAATGAAAACATGTAATAAATGCGTAGTGCTTCTGTAAAATGCAGTAAATACTGGTATTAACATTTAATCAATTGGCAACTTCAACATAAGCAGATAGTAAATATTCTGTTGACTCAGCACATGTGAAACTTTGTGACTAAACTATCCCATTTTTATATATATATATATATACACACACACACTTCTTTGAAAATGGTGTTGGAAATTTGGTGAAGTTAACAAATGTAATGAAGTTGCATGAACGTCTTAGAGAGATGTAACTATTTGTGTTAACTGTTGCATACTTAGTTTAAACCAGATAATGACAACTAACATCCTGCTAAAGGTATTGTTAATACACTGAATTATCTTTTTATTTATGAAAATAAAAGTGATTTTACAGTTTCATTGGAATTTTTTGTTTTTCAATAAATATTTTTCATGTTTTTTAAGCTGGTAACAAGGTTCATACAATATAAAATCATAATTCTTTACAGTTATATTTTAAAATGACAGATGCATTTGTATCTGTTACTTTAGGCTACATGAATTCATTAAAATACTCAGTGCTCCTTGACCTCTTCGGTTTCTTCTTTGGCTTACTGTTACTTATCTTTTTATTTTGAAGTAAGGTTTCAATCAGCCTGCATATAGCCTTTTTCTTTTTTAATATTTATTTATTTGGTTGCACTGAGTCTTAGTTGAGGCATGGAGGATCCTTGATCCTCATTGTGGCATGAGATATCTTTAGTTGCAGCATGTGAACTCTTAGTTGGGGCCTGTGGAGTCTAGTTCCCTGGCCGAGAATCGAACCCAGGCCCCCTGCATTTGGAGTGTGGAGTCTTAGCCACCAGACCACCAGGGAAGTCTCCATCCTACATGTATCTTATTCACGGTATAACCCAGCATTCTGCAGTCTTGTGTACTGTGGTGAGCTAAGCTAGGGACCTTATCACTATACAAGATTCTGTGGAGAACTTTGTACTTTGGGAGCTTTGAGGTGGCATTTTCAGTACTATATAAATGTACTCAAAATCATATTCAGAAGTATTGCCTTCTAGAGTAATTGTGGGTTAGAAAATAAGGCATTTTTTATCAGTATGTGCATAAAAATAAGTGTCATTTGGTTTTATTTTGTATCTAAAGACTGAGTTACTTGCTTAGAATTTACATTTTTGTTTTAGGACAAACTTTTTGTAGTAAACTGTAGAGATTAAAATAGTTAATCTGGAGGGAGAGCCTACTGTGAACCATAGAAGAAAAAACCACATTGGACTGTGCTTATCCAGAAGGCCAGAGCTATCACGCAATTCAGTGTATGTGATGCCTGTGATGTGCTTGAGGTGAGTCTAGAGAAAATGTCAGATCACCCGTTGGCTTGATACTATCTAAAGCATCTCTAGTCATTTGCTTCAAACTATCCCTCTCAGCTTTCTGGGGCTGGCTGGGCAGGGCCTCAGGTGGCTGGAGCTCCCAGGCTGGTCGCCTTCGGAATTTTGGACAAATTTCCTAGATCATCTGCTATGATGTAAGATAAGTTGACAAATACTCCAGTAGAACAGGTAACATACCCCAATAGCACAGGTATATCAGTAATGTCACCCGTGGTGTTTGAGTGCATATACAAGGTCTAGTACTGAAAATAAAAATAAATGGAAAAGTCCTGCCAAGTGATGTTCTGTCAGCATTTCTCAAGGAGGAGCAGTGGTTTGTTCATACTGTTTGTTTTTTCATATTTCCTCAGAATATGCCTGCCTGCCTGGGTGAGTCATTGATTGGAGAGGGCCAGTGTCCTCAGGTGAAATGACACAGAGAAGCTGGGAGTGAATACTGCCCTCTGCCCCCTGAAGTGGGGCTTCAACTATCTTGTCCTTTCAAGGCTTGCTCTCCTGACCCCCTCAGGGAAAGAAGGGAAGGGAGCTGGGGTCACCGCAGGCCCCTGTGAACAGGGCTGATGCACTGTTGGTAGTTAACCCAATGCCAGTTCTCTGCTGCATTAGCCAGATTCATTTGAAAACTTTTTTTTTGTTTTGGATTAATGAAACTGAAAGAACTCTAGGAAATTTAGGGTATTATACCTTCCCAAAGTTAAATGTCAAGATGTAGAAGTATCGTGCTATTTTGTTGCTACAGCTGAGCATGCTGTGTTTCAGTGAAGGAGTTAATTGAAACATAATGAGTGTGTAAGTGTAATGAAAAATAAGGTAGCCATTTCAACATCAGGAAATAATTATAAAGCTGCTCTCATTTTTCCAATCTCATGTAGAAGCTTCCCCCACCCATTAAAGTGAACTGACTGTATGACTCACGTATTAAGCAAATACTGAGCTCCACCTGTGTCAGGTACTGTAGGGAGCAGGAGATAAAGCGGGAGCACGCAGGTAAAACCCCTTCCACCCTGGCTGGAAGGTTGGGCGGAGAAGGAAGGGGAGAGGGAGACAGAAAGGAGGTAAGTGAAGTACAGATTGTGTTAAATGTTGATCGGTGATGAGACAAAACAGAATGAGGTAAGCTGTGGAGTGGGGGTGGTGAAGGAAGTGGGCAGGTGCTCTGGAATTCAGATAGGAACTCTTGTCAGCTGACCTTTGAGTCAAAGATCTGAAGGAAGGGAGGGAACAAAGCCTCTGAGAAGAGGGACTGGTCCAGAGAACAGCTTGCACAAGGTCCCCGAGGTGGTCAGGGAATGGCAATAAGAGGGCAACAGCTGGAATGAAGCAGGTCAGTGGAGAGAAAGTAGAGCAAAATGGGACCAGAAAAGGACTGGGGCCAAATCCACGTCTCTGAGGCCTTTGTGAGGACTGTGGCTTTTACTCTTGGTGAGCCAGGAACCCACTGGAGAGTTACAAGTTGAGAAGTGACACAGTGTGATTTTGTATTTAACACTCGGTTCTTGAGTATACAGAGTAGGAAGCCAATTAGGAGGCACTGCCAGTAATCCAGGTGAGAGACGGTGGCTTAGACTGGGGTTGATGGTGTTAGGACCCTGGCAATAGTCCAGAGAATTTCCTGATGGATTTAAGGTGAGGTGTGATTATAGGAGAAGAATCAGAATGCCTCCAATGTTTTAGGTCTGAGGATCTGGAAGAATAGAGTTGCCATTTGCTGAAATGGGAAGAATGCCAGAGGAGTAGATGGGAGTGTGTGAGTGGGGGCTGGGAGGAGGGGGTGGTTTCAGGAAGGAGAAGGGTGCACTGAAAGTATGAGCAGATTTAAACAAGAGGATGGAGGCGTCTGTTAGACCTCCAAGAAGAGATGGCAAGTAGACAGTGGGATCTATGCATCTGAGATTGAGGGAGATAAAAACGTTGGATATAAATGTGTGTGTAGATAGTATTTAAAGCCATAGGGCCAAATGAGGAGTAGATAAAAATCAGGATGAGTCTAGTGGCTGAGTCCTGGGGTACTCCAATATTGAAAGATCAGGAATCCCAAAGGGTGTGTTAATTACATGATACTCTTGGGAGCAATCCTTGATAAGCTAGATTTTGTTTTTTGTTTTTTTTTAAGAAAAAACTAGAGGTTATCATAAGAATTAAAGTATATTGTAGGAAATATTTGATCCTCCAAAATATCACTTCCCAGGTGGAGCAGTGGTAAAGAATCTGCCTGCCAACGAAGATACACAGATTCTACCCCTGGGTCAGAAAGATACCCTGGAGAAGGAAATGATAACCCACTCCAGGATTCTCACCTGGGAAATCCCGTGGACAGAGGAGCCTGGTGGGCTAAGTACAGTCCATGAGGTTGCAAAGAATTGGACACAACTTAGCGACTAAACAGCAATATCACTTACAAAACATCTCAGTCTAGGTACTTGGTGTGAAGTTGGTGGTGCTTCCAAGATTTTGGTAAATAATCCACACTTCAGTATTGAGCACCCTCTACACGACAGACACAGTAGTTACAAAGATGAATTTTGCATGGCATATACTGAAGTGTCCATTAGGTGGCAGAAAACTTCACTAAATAGACTATAAACTAGACCTCTCTCCCTCCCTCATTCTCTCTCACCAATACCATGGCCTTTGAACACTCTGATTTCAAAGATGAATATGACTATTTCATGCATAACAGTATTTTGAAAAACAGAAACTACAATTTTCTTCAGAAAGCCAACAGGTATCATTTGTCACGTCCAACTCTTTGCAACCCCACGGACTGCAGCGTGCCAGGCTCCCCTGTCCTTCACTATCTCCCAGAGTTCACTCAGATTCTTGTTCATTGAGTCGGTGATGCCATCCAACCATCTCATCCTCTGTTGTCCCCTTCTCCTCCTGCCCTCCATCTTTCCCAGCGTGAGTTGGCTCTTCACATCAGGTGGTCAAAGTATTGCAGCTTCAGCTTCACCATCTGTCCTTTCAGGGTTGATTTCCTTTAGCATTGACTGATCTGATCTCGCTGTCCAAAGGACTCTCAAGAGTCTTCTCCAGCACCACAGTTCTAAACATCAATTCTTTGGTGCTCAGCCTTCTTTATGGTCCAAGTCTCACATCCGTACATGACTACTGGAAAAACCATAGCTGTGACTACACGGACCTTTGTCAGCAAAGTGATGTCTCTGCTCTTTAATATGCTGTCTAGGTTTGTCATAGCTTTCCTTCCAAGGAACAATTACCTTTTAATTTCCTGGCTGCAGTCACTCTCCACAGTGATTTTGGAGCCCAAGAAAGTAAAATCTGTCACTACTTCTACTTTTTGGCCTTCTATTTGCAATGAAGTGATGGGACCAGATGCCATGATATCATTTGCTTGTAATATAACAAGGGTGAGCCAGGTAAATGAAGGATGAATGACTTCGTTTGGTTTGGAAATAGATCCGAGTTGGGAGATGATTTGGAAAGGGGGTAAATTGACTATGAGACGGCTGGGCCTTCCTTATTCTTAAACTTTTGATGTTTAAGCTTTTCCACTTGGGGCAAGGCAAGAAGGCCTGAAAAAGCAAAAAGCAAAAAAAAAAGAAAAACTCTTGAAGAAAACAAACAAGATGTCTTTGCTTGCTGTTGGTTCTTTCTGCAGTGCACCACATAACTAAATCACAAGTCTGTTCAAGTTAGAAGTCACATTTCTTCCTGCTCTCCTTAGGGAGCTGGTCCCCAGGCTGGCTTGCCCATTGTGATCACCAGGGAAGCCTCGAAAATAACTGAGGCCATGTCCCCCTCCTAGAGATTGTGGGTTTCCTGTGTGTCCCGGCCTTGAAATTTTAAAAAAGGACTCCCAGGTAATCCTAACATGCAGACAAGTTTGAGAGCCACAGGGTTTATTTAACATCAAATGTGTAAATACATCTGACCTTCCCACAACTTAAATATGTTCCGCCCTGTAAGACGCACACAAGAGAACCTTTCCACGTCAGCACAGTCAAGGCTTTCAAAACCAAACATAACCAGTTAGAGCAATGAAAGAAAAAACAGAGGAATAACACTGGTGAGTTGTTTTTTGAAAGTGTTTTAAATTTCTTCTGATCTTATAGAACACTTTATTTCTCATAGCACTGACAATATTTAGTTTTGCAGTAGTATTAGGCTCAGCATATTTAAACACTAAGTTACAATGTTTTGTTTGTTTGTTTTGTTTTTTTGCTGGTCTTTGGCATCAGAAACTAAGTGGTAACAACTCTTCCTAGTCCTTAGCAAGACTCTTTTGTGATACACTGCCACTCAGTCAGTCAGGAAACACCCTGTGCATCCTTGATACTCCTCAGGGGACCCTGGGCTGAGAGGGTTTCACGTCACCTTGGTTTAGATAACAAATTTAACCCTTGACAGGTTTTTGGTAACTGTCAGAGGCATAAATTCAGCATCGTACCAATTTGGTGACTGATTCATACATGCATAAACATATATATGTGTGTGTATTCAATATTATTTTCTCGCCATAAAATATTTAAAGAATTCAATCTGCTGTTTTTCATTTTGATAGGTGGCTGATAATTGGGTTACTCATATGTATTATGACTACTGACTTATTTGGAATTATTTCTAACATTTTATTGGAAATTATTTCTAGTATTTTAATTTTTCATGCTTTTCCTTTGTTCTCTTTCTTCCCTCTTTATTGCCTTCTGTTGGATGTTTATTTCCTTTAATTTTTTCCTACCGGCTTTGAGCTATATATTCTAATTGCATTATTTTTCTAGTTGCCTTTAAATTGTCAACATGCACACTAATCCTCTCCTATTTCAAAACAATACTTAAAGAGGTCAGCCCCTCATATTTTTTTTATTATTGTCTAATACTTAATACTTCTTTGTTTTTATACTATGCCAAACCAAATTAGAGTTTTTAAGAGTCACTGTTAAGATTTGCCACTTTGTTTACTCACTTATTTACATTGGTTTCTCGCATCTCTTGCTTCTGCACTTTCCTTCTAACTGACGTATAATCTTAAATTATTCATTCAGTGAAGATGCAGGAATGGTTAATTTTTATAGATCATAAAATGTCCTTATTTCATTCTCAATAATTGTTTAACTGGCATGGGTGGACCTAGATTATCATATAAATAAAGTAAATCAGACAGAGAAAGGCAAATATCATATGATATCACTTATATGAGGAATCTAAAAATAATGATACAAATGAACTTATTTAAAAAACAGAAATAAGCTCACAGACATAGAAAGCAAATATATGGCTACCAAAGGGGAAAGTGGGGAGGGGGAGGAGTAAATTAGGAGTTTGAAATGAACATATACACTTTATTATATATAAAATAAACACGAAGACCTATTGTATAGCACAGGGAACTATATTCAATATCTTGTAATAACCTGTAGTGGAAAAGAGTCTGAAACAATATATGTACATAAAACTGAATCACTTTGCTGTATACCTGAGACTAATTAAGTTGGTGCAAAAGTAATTGTGGCTTCAGACCACGAATTTTAAATCATTATAACTAGGCTCAAACATATCTTTATTAATCAAAATAGGAACCATTACAATCAACACATTTTTGCCAACAATAAATAAGTTTGTTTATTCCTGTAGTGTAAAAATCCATGCTTCAGGATTCTACAAACACTCATTTTCTGCATCCTGCTGGTTGTGGAAGCATTTTCGCTTCAAAAAGTTGCCAAGATGCTTGAACAAGTGTTAGTCAGTTGGCAAAAGGTCAGTTGAATGTGGTGGATGAAGCAAAACTTTATAGCCCAATTTGTTCAACTTTTGAAGTGTTGGTTCGGCAACGTGCAGTCGGGCATTGCCTTGGAGAAGAATTGGGCCCTTCCTATTGACCAATGCAGACTGCAGATGTTGCAGTTTTCAGTGCATCTCATTGATTTGCTGAGCATGTTTCTCAGATGAAATGGTATCACTGAAATTCAGAGAGCTGTAGAGAATCAGTCTGGCAGCAGACTGCCAGTGACCATGACATTTTTTGGGTGCAAATTTGGCTATGGAAGTGCTTTGGAGGTTCTTCTTGGTTCAACCACTGAGCTGGTTGTCACCAGTTGTCATATAAAATCCACTTTTCGTCGCACGTTCACAATCTGATCAAGAAATGGTTCATTGTTGTTGCCTAGAATAAGAGAAGATGACACTTCAAAACAATGATTTTTTTGACTTGTGGTCAGCTCATGAGGAACCCACTTATTGAGCTTTTCCACTTTTTCAATTTGCTTCAAATGCTGAACAACCATAAAGTGGCTGACATTGAGTTCTTCAGCAGCTTAAGAGGATCAACTTTGATGATGGCTCTCAATTGGTTATTATCAACTTCCAATGACTGGTCAATGAACTCCTCATCTTCAAGGCTCTCATCTCCTTTGCAAAACTTCTTGAACCACCCCTGCACTGTAATTCATTAGCAGTTCCTTGGCCAAATGCATTGCTGATATTGTGAGTTGTCTCTGCTGCTTTATGACCCATTTTGAACTCAAAAAAGGAAATCGCTCGAATTTGCTTTTTGTCTAACCATTTCCATAGTCGAAAATACATATAAAATAAGCAGCAAGTAATAAATCATTGGGAAAAAAAAAAGCAAAACAAAGGGAGAAATGCACATTCAGTTCAGTCACTCAGTCGTGTCCAACTCTTTGTGACCCCATGGACTGCAGCACGCCAGGCTTCCCTGTCCATCACCAACTCCCGGAACTTACTCAAACTCATGTCCATCGAGTAGGTGATGTCATCCAACCATCTCATTCTCTGTCAACCCCTTCTCCTCCTGCCTTCAATCTTTCCCAGCATCAGGGTCTTTTCAAATGAGTCAGTTCTTCACATCAGGTGGCCAAAGTATTGGAGTTTCAGCTTCA